ATTATTATGAGGAATGATAAAATATGCATCAAGCCATTGTGTCCGCGATGAAAGCATTGCGCTGACTGGCCAAGCATGCAAAAGGAAGGGAGATAGTAGTAATGGGGGACTTCAATTACCCGGATATTTGTTGGATGTCAAACTCAGCCAAGAGCATAAGGTCAAACAGATTCCTCACTGGCCTTGCAGACAACTTCATTGTCCAGAAAGTGGGAGAAGCAACAAGAGGAACAGCCATTTTAGATCTGGTCCTAACCAATGTTGATGACCTGGTTAGTGGGGTAGAAGTGGAAGGATCATTAGGCGCGAGTGATCATGCTCTTCTGAAGTTTACTATACAGTGGAAAGGAGCAGCCAAGCATACTAGGACTCAATTTCTTGACTTTAAGAAAGCCGACTTCATAAAACTTAGGGAAGTGCTGGGTGAGATCCCATGGACAGTAATACTAAAAGGAAAGGGCGTTCATGATGGCTGGGAGTTTGTTAAGAGGGAGATAGTAAAAGCACAACGTCAGGCAATACCAATGAGACGGAAACATGGAAGGTGCCTAAAGAAGCCAGGGTGGCTGTCTAAAGAACTTTTAAACTGAGTTAAGATTTAAAAAGGATGTGTACAAAAAAATGGAATAGGGGGGAAACCACCAAAGAGGAATTCAAACAAATAGCCAGCACGTGTAGACACAAAGTCAGAAAAGCTAAAGCACAGAATGAACTCAGGCTTGCTAGAGAGGTTAAAAGCAACAAAAAAGGCTTTTATGGGTATGTTCGTAGCAAAAGAAAGGACAAAGAAACAGTGGGGTCACTCAGAGGAGAATATGGTGAAATGCAAACAGGGGACACAGAAAGGGCTGAACTCCTCGATGCCTTCTTTGCCTCAGTCTTCTCCGATAAAGAAAACAATGCCCGACCTGAAGAATTTGGAGCAAATGATTCAGCAAAGGAAACACAGCCCAGAATAACTAAGGAGATAGTACAAGAATACTTGGCTAGTTTAGATGCATTCAAGTCTCCAGGGCCAGATGAACTGCATCCAAGAGTATTAAAAGAACTGGCAGATGTGATCTCAGAACCACTGGCAGTCATCTTTGAGAATTCCTGGAGAACAGGCGATGTCCTGGCAGACTGGAGGAGGGCAAATGTCCCTATTTTCAAAAAGGGGAAAAGAGAGGACCCAAATAATTACCGCCCAGTCAGTCTGACATCAATACCAGGGAAGATTCTGGAGCGGATCATTAAGCAAACAGTCTGTGAGCACCTAGAAAGGAATGCTGTGATCACCAATAGTCAGCATGGATTTCTGAAAAATAAGTCATGTCAGACTAACCTGATCTCATTTTTTGACAGAATTACAAGCCTGGTAGATGAAGGGAACGCAGTGGATGTAGCCTACCTTGATTTCAGCAAGGCATTTGACAAGGTGCCCCATGATATTCTTGTAAAGAAGCTGGTAAAATGCGGTCTTGACTATGCTACCACTCAGTGGATTTGTAACTGGCTGACTGACCGAACCCAAAGGGTGCTCATCAATGGTTCCTCTTCATCCTGGAGAAGAGTGACTAGTGGGGTGCCACAGGGTTCTGTCTTGGGCCCGGTCTTATTCAACATCTTTATCAACGACTTGGATGATGGACTCAAGGGCATCCTGATCAAATTTGCAGATGGCACCAAACTGGGAGGGGTGGCTAACACCCCAAAGGACAGGATCACACTTCAAAACGACCTTGACAGATTAGAGAACTGGGCCAAAACAAACAAGATGAACTTTAACAGGGAGAAATGTAAAGTATTGCACTTGGGCAAAAAAAATGAGAGGCACAAATACAAGATGGGTGACAATTCTGGGCTGCATCAATAGGTGTATAGCATCTAGATCAAGGGAAGTAATAGTGCCACTGTATTCTGCTCTGGTCAGACCTCACCTGGAGTACTGTGTCCAGTTCTGGGCACCACAGTTCAAGAAGGACACTGACAAACTGGAACGTGTCCAGAGGAGGGCAACCAAAATGGTCAAAGGCCTGGAAACGGTGCCTTATGAGGAACGGCTAAGGGAGCTGGGCATGTTTAGCCTGGAGAAGAGGAGGCTAAGGTGTGATATGATAGCCATGTTCAAATATATATATATATATATATAAATAATATTTATTAAAGTTTCAAAAGATACAAAAGACAAAACAGAAAAACAAAGAAAAGCACAAAAAAGTTCCACCTTTAAGATCTCATTTTCAGTAACTTCTTTTCACGACTTCCCCTCACTTCCCCTTCTTGTATTCCACATCCAATTATTTGTTCAAGTTTTTATCCCTAATGTCTTAACCTTAATTTGTTAATGTATTTCTTTATAATAGATTTTAACCCTTAGTTCATTATTATATTTAGTTCAGTTTATAAGACAACTTTCAAATTATATACCTTGATCATATGTAAAAAAAACGAAAAAAAAAACTTTTTCTAAGGTTGACCCTATTTCCCTTCCACGAATTCCCCATTCTTATAATGATAAACAACATAAAATTTTAACACAGCAAAATAAAGATCAGGCCCCCTTTGGACTTCCAAACCCCACCCTTCTTTCCCCCGTTTCAATCCCAAACCATAGTCCATTAGTCCGTTTTTTTAGCCTGGTGACCTTACGTCCGAGGCTCTCAAATCTCTCTCAGTCCCTTTCAGCCGGCTTCTTTGAAAGTCCCTTATGATTGACACCCGAACTCGAAGAGGCACTTTCTCGATAATGTCCATGATCCTTCCAGCTAGGCCTACTTGTTTAGAGGTGGAGCTCAAGCTCTGTTTGTTAAATCCATGTGTCCCAAATACTCCAGCTTCCACCTTGGTCGAGCTTGAAGTCATCTTGACAGGTCTCCGGCTCTCGTTTACCTTCTGTAACATTTCGGCCACATCTCCTTTCTGCTCCTCCTGTTCAGCAAGTATCTTTTCCTCCTCTTCAGTCTTTGGTTTCTTTTCCTGTCCAGCTGCCTGTGTTTTGAACATCAAGTCCTTTTCCAACTCAGAGGGTATATTTACTGTTGACTTCGGTTTTGCAGGACTTGTAGACAAAACATGGCCTTGCTCATACATCTTTCGCAGTTTTCCCATGATAACGATAACCTCATCCAGATCTGCCAGAATTTTCCGACCTATTTCCATTCTTGTAATGTCCGTGAATCCCCTCTAGAGGGATTCTGGTTACTTAATATTCCTTTCACTTCCGATCCAAAAGTCAAATTTATTTGTATCAATCTTTCTTTACTTTCAATACTTTGTAACAATATAACCGGCTAAAGCCAAAGCTTTCAGTTTTTTCCGACCTTGACAGCTAATTTGACAGCTGTCAAAGTCTTCTGTAAACCCTCAGCAGGCTCTTTTCACGGGTTACTCCCGGTCTCGAGAAGAGTGGCACTTAATCTAAACAAATAAACTCTTGTCCCCCAGCACAGTAACTTAGACTTTTAAATCCGTGGAATTAATAACTTTTATCCAGTCAGGAAGAAAAAACAGCTCTTCTCGCAACCTTAGTTGGCAAATCCTTGCTTGAAACTGTTTACAATGGGGGGGAGACGGACTTCCTCTTTGCACCTCCCCCGCTGGTTTTTAAGGGTCCCCGCGTCGCTGGCACGGCAAGACCCGGCCCCTGTTGAGCAGATTCCCTCCGGAGCTCGGAGGGAATCCGCCATTAGCCGATCGCGCTAACCCGGAAATCTCCATGTTCAAATATATAAAAGGATGTCACATAGAGGAGGGAGAAAGGTTGTTTTCTGCTGCTCCAGAGAAGCGGACACGGAGCAATGGATCCAAACTACAAGAAAGAAGATTCCACCTAAACATTAGGAAGAACTTCCTGAGAGTAAGAGCTGTTCGACAGTGGAATTTGCTGCCAAGGAGTGTGGTAGAGTCTCCTGCTTTGGAGGTCTTTAAGCAGAGGCTTGACAACCATATGTCAGGAGTGCTCTGATGGTGTTTCCTGCTTGGCAGGGGGTTGGACTCGATGGCCCTTGTGGTCTCTTCCAACTCTATGATTCTATAATTCATTGACAAAAATTTCTGATCAAATCCCACAAGCCTCTGCATCTACACCATTTTTCTCTACTGCCTTTTCTCTCTGTCTGACAAGCACGTATAAGCATTCTAGGACACAGACCAGTTGCTGAACCAGGCACCCTAGGCCATAAAGTTAATAGGTTACTTTGATGTAGTTTGTTAATCTTTAGATAGATCTTAGGGCCAGGAAGAGAGTTCAGGAAGAGATGGTGAATACTACCGTTCCTTCCTTCCTTTACTGATCTTCTGAATCCTTCCTTGCTTTGGGAACGCTACAAGTAACAGCAGATGAAAATTAGGATAGGAAAAGCAAAACTATAGAATAGGCACCTAGAATTGTACATGGATTCAAACAGCACAGTCCAAGTGAATAATATTGGCATTATCTGATGATCAAGTATATGTCTGGATTTGCCAAGCTTGTGACAACAGCTGTCTAGCAGATGATGTATATAGATTCATAGAACTGTAGTTATAAGGGACCCCAAGGGTCATCTAGGCTGACCACCGAAGAATTGATGATTTTGAATTATGGTGCTGGGGGAGACTCGTTGAGAGTGCCATGGACTGCAAGAAGATCAAATGTATCCATTCTTAAGAAAATCAGCCCTGAGTGCTCACTGGAAGGACAGATAGTGAAGTTGAGGCTCCAATACTTTGGCCACCTCATGAGACTCCCTGGAGAAGACACTGATGCTGGGAAAGATGGAGGGCACAAGGAGAAGGGGACGACAGAGGACGAGATGGTTGGATAGTGTTCTCGAAGCTACAAACATGAGCCTGACCAAACTGCGGGAGGTGGAGGAAGACAGGAGTGCCTGGCGTGCTCTGGTCCATGGGGTCATGAAGAGTCGGACACAAATAAACGACTAAACAACAAAAGGGTCATCCAGTCCAACCCCCAGCAATGAAGTAATCTCAGCTAAAGCATCCATAGCAGAAGGCCATCCAACCTCTGCTTAAAAACCTCCAAGGAAGGAGAGCCCACCTCCCACCGAAGGAGACTGTTCCAATGTCAAAACAGCTCTTACTGTCAGAAAGTTCTTCCAATACAATAATGGCTGTCCTGGGGGGACCAGAACACGATCATTGGTTTACTCTCTGTAGGAGTTATTTGTTATGATTAAAGATCTTCCCACACGACAACCCTTTCTAAGATGTTTCCCTTGTACGAGTTCTTTATTGTTTAGGAAGCGAGCCCCTGTCACTGAAGTTCTTTCCATAAACCAAACATTTCTAAGATTTCCTCCCTGTATGAGTTCTTTGATGCGACTTAAGGGAGCTACTACGACTGAAGCTCCTTCCACACTCCGAACATGTATACGGTTTCTCCCCTGTATGAGTTCTTTGATGCAATGTAAGTAAGCTACCACGACTAAAGCTCTTCCCACACTCCAAACATTTATACGGTTCCTCTCCTGTGTGCAATCTTTGATGGAAGGTAAGGCTGGAACTGTGGCTGAAGCTCTTTCCACACTCGAAACATGTATATCGTTTCTCCCCTGTATGAATTCTTTCATGCGAGGAAAGGTTGTCGATGCGACTGAAGCTCTTGCCACATTCCCAGCATTTATAAGGTTTGCTGCCTCGATGAGTTTGTTGATGTCTAGTAAGCCCATTGCTGCGAGCGAAGCTCATTCCACACTCCAAACACGTATGCGGTTTCTCTCCTGTGTGCAATCTTTGATGCGAGCTAAGGCTGCCACTCTGGCTGAAGCTCCTTCCACACTCTGAACATGTATATGGTTTCTCCCCTGTATGAGATCTTTGATGCGTAGTAAGGTGGCCAGAGTGACTGAAGCTCTTTCCACACTCGGAACATGTATACGGTTTCTCTCCTGTATGAGTTCTTCGATGCAAGATTAAGGCACTACAGTGACTGAAGCTCTTTCCACACTCCAAACACGTATGCGGTTTCTCCCCTGTATGAGTTATTTGATGCGAGGTAAGGGCACCATTCTCACTGAAGCTCCTTCCACACTCTGAACATGTATACGGTTTCTCCTCTGTATGAGATCTTTGATGCGTAGTAAGCTGGCCACATCGACTGAAGCTCTTTCCACACTCTAAACATGTATACGGTTTCTCCCCTGTATGAGTTCTTTGATGCGAGGTAAGGTTACCACTGACACTGAAGCTCTTTCCACACTCTAAACATGTATACGGTTTCTCCCCTGTATGAGTTCTTTGATGCGAGGTAAGGTTACCACGTTCACTGAAGCTCTTTCCACACTCTAAACATGTATACGGTTTCTCCCCTGTATGAGTTCTTTGATGTAAAGTAAGAGTTGAGCGACGACCAAATCTCTTTCCACACACGGTGCATTCATGCTTTTTCTCCTCTCTAGGAATTTGATTTTCACCCACCCTGAGACGTACAAGAGTCACCCTCCGGCTTCTGCTTTCGTCTCCCTTCTCGCCTTCGGCTTCCATCTTGAACCCTCAGCTTCCTTTGCTCTTTGGATTCTTTGGGTGACACTTCTGATTGTTCCCCTTCTGCCAGCATCCCTTCAACATCTCCTGATGGAATAAAAAGGCAAACTGATGAAATGCTAAAGGAGCGTCTTCACACCAATCATTCAGTCAGGACACAGAGATCCAGGTTCCAAGGGCCTTGTGGCAGTTCCCTCCCTGTGAGAAGGGAAGTTACAGGGAACGAGACGGAGGGCCTTCTTGGTAGTGGTGCCCACCCTGTGGAAAGCTATCCCGTCAGATGTCAAGGAAACAAACAACTATATAACTTTTAGAAGACAACTGGAGGCAGCCATGTAGAGGGAAGTTTTAAATGTTTTATTATGCTTTTATATTTGTTAGAAGCCAGCTAGAGTGGCTGGGGAAGCCAGTCAGATCCGTGGGGTACCAATAATGAAAGTATTAATATGGTATTATTGTTTATTGAGTTTATATACCGCCTTAAACCCGGAGGACTCAGCGTGGTTCGCAGAAAAGATCACATCATATGTAATCAGAATAAACATAACAACCCAATACCCCCCCCCAAAAAAGAGCCACCTTTGAAAAAGACTATAGGATGTCAAACATATCAAGCAAAAGCCTGGTTAAAAAGGAACATGTTTGCATGGCACTTAAAGGTGTATATCCCTTCATGGATCACTGCCTTGTCGTGGTGAAGGAGCTTGAATAAGTCAGAGAAGCTATGACCTATGCCATGCAGGGTCACCCAAGACAGACAGGTCAGCCGAGAGTTTAGACTAAATGTGATCCACCTGGTGAAGAAACTGACAACCCACTCCAGTATTATGCCATGAAAGCTCCATGGACATAAAAAATGAGAAGATTTGAGAGGA